GAAGAGCAGCACTTCCACTTGACCAACGATTCTGCTCGGAGCAAAGGAACTGCGACAAAGGGGACAGGTAGAATGCTTGTATTGAAGCCATCTATCTAAACAAACACTATGAAAAATATGGTTGCACCTCAACTCTCCGATCTCTTCATCTTCTTCAATCTTGCACAGACACACAGCACATTCAACAGCTTCCTCGTCCACCTGCAGCTTTCTTGTCCTTAGTTCTTGTTTGATTTCTGTCGTGTATGGGATTGGGAGGTCAAGATTATGGGGGAGAGTGAGGCGAAGCAAGAAGTCGAATATCCATTTCAAATGGGTAGCGATGGTAAGCACATAAGATAACATGATTGATTGGCGAGAAAACTTGGAAGATATGTGTCCTAATTCTTAACAACCTGGACTGGGAGAACACTTTTTGATTGGTGGAGATGCCAGCAGGTATTTATAGAGAGGAGATATGTCGAAGAGAGCTTTGAGGGAAGGGCAGAACAACAGTTCTTTAGTTTATGATAAGGTAAGGAAGGTTAAAAACGTGCAGTACTGTGGGGTATGATATTAAGACATGTGGCCGTCCAATTTCGATGAAATATTTCTTTTTTTATCAGCAAAATGAATATAATGATATTAATACAGAGCACAAAGGGTACTTTAACCCATACACAAAGTAGGCTGCAATCTGCAGAATTGGGACTTAGAAAACTATGCCAACAACCGGTACCATGTCCACATACTTGTGCTGGACAATGACCCACCCAGCAGCCCACTATACCCTCCCCTTTTGTTTCAAATGGAACTCCCGCAGCAGCCTTCTATTATTTCTTATTTCTGCAGCAGTTTCCAACGGGTTGAGCTTCCAGTCACAAAATGAGAAAACACATCCCTGCACTTTATTCTTTACCCAGAAAAAAATCTTTACCTGAATTATTTCCAATAACTCATCCCTTGGTATCCCATTTCCTTTAAAAACTCTACAATTCCTCTAAAACCATATGTACCATGCAATCACAAGAAAAATACAAGCTCCCAATTCCTTCCCTATCACCCTACCCAACCCATATGCAAACAAATCCATTAATCCCCCCACTTTATTCGGCACTACAGCCTCCATACCCCACCAATACAGCACCTTAGCCCAAATTAACCAAGCTTCCGTACATGTACAAAATACATGATTACACTCTTCCACTTCCTCATCACACAACCCACACCTTAAATCCCCATCCAAACCTACACCTCTTTTTTGTAAGCTAGACTTAGTGGGAAGACGCTCAAGACATAATCTTCACCCAAAAAAACTAACTTTTGAAGGCACTAACCGGCACCAAATTAACTTACATAATTGGTCGTCAAGAATGTACTTCGTAGACTCCAAAAACTCATACGCATGTCTCACCATGAACTTGCCATAAGGAACATGCACCCACTGCCAACAATCCTTAACACCTTCCTTAAGTTGAACTTTACCCAAGATCTCCCACAACAGCACCTCCTCATCCTTCTCTCTTCCCCGACTCCCTCCAATTTCGATGAAATATTCCTAATTAATAATTATTTTTTGGTGATAAATTATTTATTTATTTAATAAAAACTAGTAATTTCATTATAAATTAATAAATTAAGTGCAT